ATCAGCTAGAATGGGATTCTTCACATCAAAGAAGGATCAGCTCAACTGTGATATAGATTAACAAAATAGTACTTATGTATCATATTTATATTTGCTACAATATTGAGAATGTTGAAGTTTAAACTAATTAAAGCAACATACACTTTTAAATTAAATGTCAATGACAACTATGCTATATACATTTTATTAAAATCTGAAACATTTTTTAAAATCACATAGTGCCTCCTATCAGTCATCCTACATTGTCAGGAAAAATTCAATTTCCAAGACATTTTGGAAGAACAAGATCATGGGGAAAGGGATGAAACTACTTTCTAAAAGGAGGCTATTACAAAACCCAATATCTATATAACATATGACCTACAAGCTTCAATCTCCTGTACTTTCTGGAAAAAGGAATATATATAGGTTAGGTGGATTTATTTTGGTTGATACTCTTGCAACTTTCTTGGTGCGAACCCATCTAGGGCTTTATAAATAACAATAATCACTTTAATCAGGCTCATGGTGATAGAATTTCAGTGGAAGTCCATATTTATGCTCCAACCATAGATTGGAGGCCTACAGAAAAGACAATATGACTAAAAACTGCTTTCTTCTAATTACAGGAAATTGAAATTTCAATATTAGAAATAATAGAGCATTTGGAGATAGAAAATTGAGTGTTCCATGAAGATTGAATATTTATATCAAATACTATTTTTCCAACAATTTATTGGAATTGTGGTTATTATCAGATGGACAATATTGTAATATGACTGTGTATGCTACAAAAAAAGATGAAGCTCTATTTAGTCAGCAAAACTAAAACTTAAGGTTGAAAATGGATCAAATAACAAGCATCTTGCAAATTACGATTTAAAATGATGGAAAAGATACAAAATCATCAGACCAACAAAATAAAAGTTCAGCAATATTCAATATAATTATTAGTGGAAATAAAGAATCAATTTACTGTATCAGATTTGATAAAAAGTATCTGAATAAAAATGTCTTGAAATGCAAAAGGAAAAAGAAACTAAAACATCTCCCTGCTGATATATTGAAAGTAGCCAAAGAAAGATTAAAAAAAAAACACTCTCAAAACAATGCAAACAGAGGAAAATTGGTACTGGTTAAACATTGAGCAAGACCAACAGTAACAAAATTTGTAATCTAAATAAATAATGGATAGAAATCGAGGATAACAATTGAAGGGAAGGGCAAAAGTTTTCTTTATCAAAATTGCAGACATCAAAGCAAAATTCTTTGCAGTTATAGACACAATGAGAAACAAGGCAAAGAGCTAATGGAGAAAGAATTTATAAAGATAAGATGGCAGAAAAATTATTTTTAAATGATCCCAAAATCAGTGACACATACAATGATGTACTTATTGAATTAGAGTCAGACCTGGAAAGTAATACGAAATGGCAAAACTGAAGACAATATTGTTAATAATAAAGAGGCTGCAAGAGTTGACAAAATATCAGCTGAACTGTTTAAAGCTGTTCAAGATGACGCAGTTGAAGTACCATTTGTGGTTTGCAAGCAGGTATGCAAAATAGAGCAATAGCCAAGAAACTGGAAAAGATAAATGTATATTCCAATACCCCAAACAGGCAGTACTACAATTGCATTTCTCTTACATGCTAGTAAGATAATGCTCAATATTTTGAGATCTAGAATTTAAAAGTATTTAGAACAACCACAAAAAATTTCAGATGTATATGTTGGATCCAGAAGAAGCAGAGCACCCGAGATCATATTACTCGCATCCCTGGATAATGGAAAATGCAAGGGAGTTCCAAAAATTATGTCTATTTTTGCTTTATTGAATATACTAAAATGTTTTGACCACAATAAATTGTATATAAATCTTAAAAGATGGATGTACTGTACCATCTCATCTGGCTATTACGAATTTTAGGATGAATAGGAATTAACGGTTGAAATATAAAACAACCAAGTGGTTCAAAGAAATGCCCAGTCACCTTATTCAGTCACCTTATAGTTGAAATTATTCATAAAATACTACCATGCAAAATTATAGACTTAAGAAATAGAAATTAGAATTAAAAATGTTGACAAAAACATAGATAACCTCAATTGTACTATTTTAATAAGGGGAAGTGAAGTAAACCTCTTGTTGAAGATGAAACAGAGAGCAAATGCCAATCTGCTTTTTATACAAATGAAACAGATTATGTCAGAAGGCAATAACAACCCAATGACAAAGGCAATAACAGACCATCTTCCTAGGTTCAAAATTCACAGGGAAGGTCACTGTAGCCATTAAATAATGAGATATCTGCTGTTTGGAACAAAAATGAAAATTCTTGACAAACAAATGAACTATCAAGGCAATGACTTTCCCAATTTGTAACATACAACTATAATCACCAAAAGAACTGAATGAAAATTGGATGCTAAAGAACATCATTAAGAATATTTTTAATCAAAAGAAGAGCAAAACTTCAATATTAACTAAAGTAAAACTGTATTCCTCTCTGTTAAAGTTAAATATTTTGTACACATAATGCACAGGGAAACTCATTGTTGAAAACAGTTGAAGAAGAGGCTGATAGAAGGCCAGATGAAGAGATATGATGACTAATGACAGAAGGAACTTGTAAGTTTTCAAAGGAGCAATTACTGAAAGATAGCCCTAGCAGAATTATTCCTGTAAGGGCACAGAGTCAGGAGCAAAGGAGTACTAAACAATAATTTACATTTTGAATTTATTTATGGATGGATGGATGGATGGATAGATTAGATGATAGATTTTATATATGCATACATGCCTGCATGCATGGAACTTTACTTCTGAAAAATTGGGTGGGTTACAATTTATTTTATTTTATTTTATTTTATTTTGAATTTATATTCCGCACCTTCTCCCGAGGGACTCAGGGCGGTATACAGCCAGATAAAAATATACAATACAAACATTAAAAACAATTAAGAGGATATATATTAATTTGGCCCCAATTTAAAATAACAAACCAATTAAAATATTTAAAAAATATGTTAAAAAATATGTTAAGTCAGCCCGGCATGCTGAAAAAAGAACGTTTTAAGGGCACGACTGAAGGCACCGAGGTCTTGGATTCTCCTTATCTCTGGGGGCAGCTGATTCCAGAGGGTAGGTGCCCCCACAGAGAAGGCCCTCTCCCTGGGGATCACCAGCCTACATTGTTTGGCTGATGGCATCCCGAGGAGGCCCTCTCTGTGGGAGTGCACAGGTCGGTGGGAGGTCATCGGTAGCAGCAGGCGGTCTCGAAGATAATTTGGGTTAGAAGTTGATGTTTCTTTAGGTTCTAGCCATTATACATCTGTTTGCTCAGATATAGTCTATGGTTCAACCACAATTTCAACTGAGAAACAGTAAACATTTTAGATAAGGGGTGTCAAACTTGTGGCGTCACATTGTCATCACATTATGTATCGCAACTTTTCCCCCTTCACTAATCTAGGGGTGGGCGTAGCCAGAGCATGATGCATCCAGCCCACGGGCCGTGAGTTTGACACTCCTGTTTTAGATCACGTTAGTCTAAGATTACAAGAGAATTTCTAGAAGATTGGCCATCTGGCAGATCTGAAATCAATAGATACAAAGAAATAAGTCTTATTTATGACCCATTCCAAAGGAACAAGTACATGTCAAAGAAAGAGGCTGCCCAGAGCACACACTTATCATACATCCACTAACCAACACCTAGGTAAGCAAAAACCATCAACTGTACCACAATAGACATCAATCAATCTTATGTGCCCAAATCCACATAAGGCTGATAGTACAAGTACAAGGGACACAGTGGCTCAGTGGCTAAGATGCTGAGCTTGTCAATCGAAGGTTGGCAGTTCAGCGGTTCGAATCCCTAGTGCCACGTAACAGGGTGAGTTCCTGTTACTTGTCCCAGAGTCTGCCAACCTAGCAGTTCAAAAGAAATGCAAGTAGAAAAGTAGGGACCACCTTTGATGGGAAGGTAACAGCGTTCCATGCATCTTTTCCTTTTGCGTTCCATGCCTTTGGCATTTAGTCATGCCGGCCACATGACCACAGAGACATCTCCAGATAGCGCTGGCTCTTCAGCTTTGAAACGGAGATGAGCACCGCCCCCTATAGTTGGGAATGACTAGCACATATGTGCGAGGGGAACCTTTACCTTTTTACAAGTGGCTATATAAAAACCACTAACAAATTTGGCTCTCCATGCCAGAAAACTGATGATGTGACCTTGTCTGGTAACAAAATGTCTGTCAGAAGCAAATCTAAGATATGATCTATCAAGGAACTCTTGAATATGGCATTCTGGATCCTCAAAATTTATTTTCAACTATTTCCTTCATGTTTCAGCCTGGTCATCAAAATTTCTGATACTGTAATGTAGAATGAAACTAGAAACTAGAAACTATAATCAGGCAAGGCAAACATGGATATTTGTGATGAACACTGAAATGAGGAAAAGTGAATAATTAAGGTTTACCTCCCATTTTTAAAGCAGTTTACTGACCAACTCACAGTGACCTAGTTTGCATCTATGTAAAGAGTACTTTACAGTGCTCTTACAGGAGAGTAAGAATAGGCAGATCTGAAGGAAAAGGTGTGAGACAGAGGGGCATGGAGAGGGCTAAGCCATAGAGTGGTCAAGGGTAGGACACGACTAAATGGTTGATGACAACAACATAAAGAGTACATTCTTATATTATGCTATATTATACAAAAACACAGTAATATTATGCTACATTTTAAACAAAGCTATAATGTTGCTAAGGTAAGAAAAAAAGCTCGAAACTGTAGGTATTGGGGAAAACTATAGGAATGACATGATTTCATTTCCTTGAACCTAGCCAAATTTTGTTATACTACCTGTACAATTAATAATACCTTGATTGGTCATGAATGAACCCACTACCAAATGCAACATTCTTATCCTGTTATGTTATTTTGTTTTTAATGTGTTTTATTTTAATCTTGGTCTATGACCGAATAAAATTCTCTTTTTGTCTTTCTCTAGGAATAACATGCCAGATATAAGACATTAAAAGCTCTGAGCTATGAGTGAAACTTTGGTGCTGTTTGTAATGTCACAAGATGTGAGTGGTCAAAATTGCTGCTGAAAATATGTCACAATAATAAAAAATATTTTTTTAAAGAAGTGTGGATAAGGCTGTTTCAAGGTGAAAAAGGGAAGACATCAAGGAATACATATACAATTTGATTTTTATCTAGACTGTTGTTACATTTTATATCCTTTTTGTACATGTTCTTATTATCTTAACACGCATACCTAGTAACTTACTTTGGAATCTTGCCCCGTGTTTAGGAACTGAACATTATTTCTTGTCCTGCCACTGATCTGATTTATGTTGTTTGAGAATGAGAATATCAGTTCCTGCAGAATTTCTGCAGAGAGAGAGCAAAAAGACAAATGAGGAGAACTGCATTATGATATAATTAAACATACAGTACAAATTATATACCTGCATGTTTATAGATACATACACACCACAAAGACATATATACACATACTGTACACAAACACTTCCTTTTTCAGTTAATATAATTTATTTTTCAGGTTTACAGCATGGTGAATGATACAAAATATACAGAAGGTCACAGCAGCAAACTAAGCATTGTGACTACAAGTTCGGATTTTTATGGTAAAAGATTTTTATGGTAAGCATGTGTTTTGTAAAATAATTCTTTTCCTAGACCATTAATTTTTATGATCAAATTAAATTAACCTTGAGTGGCATCATTCATACAGAATTAGAAAAGCTCAAATAGACAAATACAATGAGGAGAAAGGCAAGGGGAAGGAGGGGTGAACATCAAAAGAGCAAGTAAGGAATGGAGCCTAGAATTCTTCAAAATTTCCAAAGTTATCTCCTTTTAACAAGATTATCTGCATCCTTTTCTGTTTCTTCTTCTTGTTCTTTTTTTTTTTTTTTTTTTTTGATAGACCATCTGCCAAACCAGTCTTCATTACAGAGGATTGGGCCAAACTGTGCATTACAAATGGAATTTTTTGCCACAAGGAATGCTCTTTGGAGCCAAGCTGCTTGAGGTCCAATCTAAGCCCATAAAACCAAAATGTAATTTAGTGCAAGACTGAAATATTTATATACTTTGCATCAGTAGAAAAAAAATGATCGAGCATTATTATTGCATATGGGCCAATGTTGCACTCCTATCTGTAGATGATTACCCAATTAATATACAATCCACAATAATCTGCTGCATTATCTTGCAGAATGTTCAAATGGAGATTTCTAAATTGGCTTGTGAGTTGTCTGACTTGTCTCCCAATACTTGCCTAAAACCTAAGTGGTAACAGGATGAGACAGGGCAGATCAACTGTAAAACACTTACATTTTGCTTCATTCTTAATTAGCATACTTCCAGAGGGGAAACTGTTATTTGGACAAGAGACAAAATCCTATGTAGTTTTTATGTGTGTAGTTTTTTCCAATTCAATTCCAAAACATTGAAATTGTCTTTGGTTGGACTCATTTTTAAAAGTTTTGTTTTAAAAGAATCTATGAAAATTGCATAAAAATGATACCTGTTACTAAAGGTACTAAAATCATGTTTGTTTTAGTTTATGCTATCTGTCATGTTACCTGAATTTTCTTTATCTGTGTAACTTTGCTTATGAGGCAAAATTTTGAAGCAACTGTATTTAAGTCAAAAGAATTCTTCTTTCCAAACTGCATCTTAAGGACTGGACCAACATTTCATTTTTTATTGCAGATCCCAAAGTTTTGGAATATAGTTACTAATTTTTCTCCTTTTGCTTGCCGAATGAATTGGATAATGTGCTTTCACTTAATTATTAACCCCCATGCCACTTTGGAAATGTATACATTGAACTGAATGCATTCTTTGACACAGATAAACATATTGGGAGATAAGCACACAGAAATGTGTGGGGAAAAGTATCACATAAACCCTGCTGGGAGCACAATTTAATTGTCAATGTATAGTACAAAATGAGGTTCCTTATACTGTATGTGGCATTTTCTGATTTCTGGACTTAATGCTGGACTGTATGGCTTGTGGTATTCTCTATTGAAGTGACAAAGTTGAAGAGGGAGTAAAAGAACAAAGAAACAGAAGCAAGATTCCCATGTCTCTAGAGCATAGTCTCTGTGTAAATGTGTCTGCGTGCTGGGGAAGTTTTCCATACTCAAAAGGGACAATTTAATAACCTCAAGAGTTTTGCAGTGATCCTGCAGAATGTGATTTTTATGACTTTTGCAGAGTTGCTACAACTGAGATCCTGTGAAGCGGACAAGTCCCTGTGAGAAAGGTCGGTTAATAAGCTTGAAAAAATCCATCTGTTCTGACAAAGTGCATGAACTTAGATTAACCAGCCCACTTATATAAATATTTTTGGAAACACTTGTGGAAAACAAAGTGGAGATTTCTATTTAATAGGTCTGACTTGTGCGCATACGTGCATGGGGGAGGGAGGGGGTGAAAGAATCTTAATGAACTAGATAAGGCTAATATGAATACATATTGTAGAACTATCTTAACCATCTCTTGGAAAATTGTGAAGTCTCCATATATGCAAATTATACTTCTTTTTAGAACATGACATCATCATACAAAACTTTGGGGAAATGAGGAGAATAGCAAAAGAGAATGTGCATACTTTTTTAGTATGTGAAAAGGAATTTGGGCATCATCCAAATTCTAAGTGACCTATTCAGTGCAGCTCCAGTACAGATTTTGCTATGGATCGTGAAATTCTTCAATAGTTTGCATAATCTCCGTTTTTCCATTTTGGTGCCCTGGACATTGATCTTTCCACACATCTGTGACTCAATACTTGTATATATTCAGTGCACTATACAGCATATTAAGAAACAAAATGTTTTGTTTGTGGGAGCAAACAAATACTTCAGACTTTTAAATATTAAACTATATTTTATAAACAAATGGAACAGAGTCCTGAAAACTTAAAAAGAAAGCACCTTTAGGCTAAGGAAATGTATAAGATAGAGATAAGATTATAAAAATATAGTAAGTATACAATCTTTCTCTTCTTTTCCAATTTCCAAGTGTAGTCCTTCCTCACACTATTCTAAATACACGTTTTCATTTATAAACATATATTTTAATTTGCATAGTGAAGGAAACCATGTGAAAGAACTGTCATATATCCACAACCCATTTACTTTTCTCATAAAAATATTGATAAAATAGCTTTTCTGTTGTGTAATTTTTAAATCATTATTATAAACATTTTCTACATTTAAATACAATTCTCAGCAGTAGTACTGATGCAGTAGTACTTAGCATTCTCCTGCTCTTTAAATTCCTGATAATCAAATAACAAACAATCTTAGGATTGTTGATGCTGATTTATCATTTCTGCTGAAGCAAACATTCTCAGTAACAATTGGTTTTACATCTGTGGTGGGTTGCTACCGGTTCGGTCTGTATCTTGCGAACTGGTAGTAATGGCGGCAGGAGGCTCCGCCCACACACCCGGACATCATCATGGATGATCTGCACATGCGCAGAAGTGCCATGCATGAGCAAGTTGAGTGCGCATATGCGTGCGCTGCATTCCCGTTGCAAACTGGTAACGAAGGTAAGTGGAACCCACCCCTGTTTTACATCCTTAGAATTACTGAATTGAAATTATATACACCCCCTTTTTATTTATTTTAAAATGAGAGCAAGAATAAGGTTCTTTCTTTATGTTTTAGAGCAGAGGTCTTCAAACTTGGCAGCTTTGAGATTTGTGGATTTCAATTCCCAGAATTCTTCAACCAGCTATGCTGGCTGGAGAATTCTGGGAGTTGAAGTCCACAAGTCTTAACGTTGTCAAGTTTGGGGACTCCTGTTTTAGAGGATATTTACTGCAGGAGAATCAAGCTCCCTCATTTACATCAGGACACCTGGCATTCTTTCAAGAAGTATAACTCACTCGGGTCAATTGGAAAATGTGTTTTCTGTTCCATACGATTTAATTAGGGATATGGAAATGATGATGTAATCTGTTTAGTATTTAATGTTCTAATAAATAAAATTATTTTCCTTTTAAACTCTGTAACTTTTATAAAACATAGGAAAATTTTAAAAAACTAAAGTGGGCTGGGGAAGAAAGTTTAAGTTTTCTATAACTGGTGTATTGTCCAATCCTGGCTAGAGAAAGAAAGGAAGGTAGGCAGGCAGGTAGGGAAGGAAGGAAGGAAGGAAGGAAGGAATTCTTTGTATAACTTGATTTTTCTTTCTAAGTAAATACAATTGTATTGTCATAATATAGTCTTAATATGACTATTGAAAAGAAATCAGAAATTTGCTGACAAGTTGCTCACATGTTAATAAGTATCAAATTGCCACTTAAATTTCCTAAATGAAGATGTAATAAGTATAAAGGAAATCTAGTTTAATTATTTATACATTTGAAATATATAGAAAATGAAGGATATAATAAGGACCAGAAGCAGCAGAATCAGGAAATCTTTTTTTTTTATTGCAAAAGTTTTACAATTACATTTTCACCCCATTTTTCCCCCCAACCCACCCCATACTCCCCACCCTAACCCTCCCAAACCCCCCTAACCCTCCCCCCTGACTTCCACAGAATATAATCCCATCAAAATCCCCTTTTTATAAAACCTGAACCCCTCAAACCCCCTTCTAATTTTTCATCTTCACAAAATTCATACATTTCTATTTTTATATAATACTTTCAATGAAAAGCTATTTGATACTTCCTAGTTTGATATTTGTTCTGCACATAATCTATCCATTTTTTCCATTCCCATTCATAAGTCTCTTGTGAGCGATCTTTTAAATATGCTGAAATCTTCACCATCTCTGCAAAACTGGCCATCTTCAAAGTCCATTCTTCAATAGTGGGCAAAGCATCATTTTTCCAGTATTTACCTATCAATAATCTCACTGCTGTTATCATATACAATATCAACTTAGTTTCATCCAGTGTAAAACCCTTTACTATACCTAGTAAAAACAATTGTGGAGAAAATTGAATTTTTTTCTTCAAAACATTCTGCATAACCCACCATATTTTTATCCAAAAAGCCTTAACTTTCTTACAGGTCCACCAAACATGATAATATGTAGCATCTAAACAATCACATCTCCAACATTTTGGCTGAACATTAGGGTACATACACGACAACTTCTTGGGATCTAAATGCCATCTATAAAACATTTTATAAAAATTTTCCCTCAAATTCTGCGATTGTGTAAATTTAACATTCTGGACCCATATTTTTTTCCATGTTTCCAACATCACTGGTTCTGCAAAATTTTGTGCCCACTTAATCATACAATCTTTAACCAATTCAGTTTCTGAATCCCTTTCTAACAAAACATTGTATAACCTTTTAATATGCATTGGACCTTTCTCTTTTATATGTCTAACCAATTCTTCCTCATGCAACATAATACCAGTTTTTTGGTCCTCTTTCCATCTCAGTTGAAGTTGATTATACTGTAACCAAGTTAAATTAATCCCTTCATCCAACAGTGTCTCTAATGTCTTCAGTTGCCATCTGCCCGCATCTGTAAAAAGAACCTCTTTATATAACCCCCCCCCCCGAGTGACATTATATTTGTATTCCACATGATATGACCAAGATCCAGCCATAGCGGTATTTTGTAATCCCATTTGAATCGGTGCTTCTTCCAAATTCTCATCAAAGAGTCTCTAAGTATATGGCTGTTAAATACTTTATCCATTTTGTTTTCATAAAATAAATAAGCATGCCATCCAAATTCAAGATCAAAACTTTCTATATTCAATATTCCAGTCTTTTTTCTTCCAAACCAATCGCTTGCTTGAGTTAAAGCTGCTGC